AAACAATCAACGTCCCCCCCCCCCCCCCCCCCCGCTCCGAACCTCCAGCGCTGACTGGCGGAATGGACGGGGGAGGGGGCGGGTACAGCTGGCTCTGCCTCTAGATAGGCAGAGCCAGCTGTCACTCACGCAGCTGGTCGGATCCGCTTCAGCTGCGGCGTCTCAGTATACCGCGAGCGGTAGCTCGCAGTATACTGAGCTTAGGGTGACGGGAGGACGCTAGTTTGTCTCCTCCCGTTACCCTTAGGAGAACTATGGGGAAAAGCCCTAACCCCATAGTTCTCCTTTAATATTGTTTTCTGTGTTACTAAGAAAGGCCACTAGATGGCGGTATTTTACATCTATTAAGTCTGAGAGTGTTGTAACACACCAGCACATGTGCGGTACAGGTACCCTTACTGAAACCTGGACCACTGATTAACTTAGGCCCCATTCACACCTATGCGTATTGTAATATTCGCGTCTGTCGCGCGACCGTCACGCGGTTTTTTTACCGCGATTCGCAGTAAAAAAAGTCGCGCGACCACAAAGGCTACTTGGCAGTATCCAAATGGAAAACGCCCTACAAAACGGACCAATACGCAGCAAAAACGCTCCGGGACCTTTTCATGCGTGGGCCGTTTTGTAGTGCGTTCGGGACAGGCGGAAATACGGACAGGTGTGAACGATACCATTGACTACAATGCTATTTATTTTTTTGACCGTTTTGTAGAGCGTTCATCGAGCGTAGGACGCGCTACAAAACGTTCAGGTGTGAATGGGGCCTTAAACACTCAGACTTAATAGAAGTACCCCTTACTCATTCACAGGGGGGGGCAGCATCTGAGTGCCCCTTTATGAAAGGGGGTACCCCGATGCAAATAAGCCCCCCTGACTGCACCACTGAGTCAGGGTTGTGGGGAACAAAAAAACAGGGTTGTGGGGAAGAGGCTCTTGTCCTGATCGGCACCTTTCCAATGCCAAGGGTGTGTAGCCTGGTATGGCACGGGGAGTGCCTGGATTAAAGGTCTGATTGGGAATTTTAGGGGGGACCCCACTTTATTTTCATTTTTGGGTTGTTGTTGGTGTTCTCCCTTAAAATTTCTACCAGACCTAAAAGGCCTGGTATGACTTTAGGGGGGAACCTCCCACACTTTTTAAAAATATTTTTAAACTGGGGGTCTGGTATTGTGTGGGAGGGGGACACCATGCTGGTTTTTACTTCTTTTGTTTACATTTTTTTAATTCTGCTCACTACCTCAGAGGTAGCGAGCAGAATAACCCAGCTGAATGCTGCTTGGCAGCATTTAGCTATTCACTCACTGCTGTTCGGCCCCTATGGGAATTGCAGCGAACAGAAGCGAATGAACTGCCGAACGATCGCCTCCAGTTGTTGGCTCGGCTGAGGCAAATGTTATCTTCACTTTGGCTCAGCCAAATTGTTTGACTGAACCAAAGTGAAATGAAGGGAGCCAAAGGCAGCCGATATACGGCTGTTTTCAGCCGTACAGGACTGAAGTGAATAGCTGAACGACGTTCTGCTCCCTTCACTTCGGGTCGGTTACCCATGTGCCTTTTGCATGCATGGATAATGGTTCACACTGGCAGAAAAAGAATAAACTGGCAAATAATTTTGCTTAAAATGTGTGTATGCTCATGTTGATTGCTCCTGCCTACTCATTGAAATCAATGCACTCCATATGTGACTAATATTGTATAGTAACGGAGAACTGTGGGGTTCTATTTTTTCTCCATTATTGCATTACTTAGGCTACAAGAGTAAATAGTGTAATTTACTCCTATATGCCAAAAAGCACCCTAAGCCTTTAAACGCTTCTTTAAGATGGTGGGCGGGGTTAAGCACCGCAATGAGGAGAGATCCCGACAATACTGTCGGGATCCTCCCCACTCATCTTCGTCACTGTGACTGACAGCACCTCTTGAGAGCTGCTGCACTTCCATGTATATATGGGCATGTGCAGCAGCTCTTTCCCTGCAGCTCTCTCCCTACCTCTTCTCCGTCCTCTGTGCCCGCCTCCCAGGCACGTGCTGCTGTGTAGCCCTTGTCCTCCTTCCTGCCTCCTCCTCTCCTTCATCTGTCCCCACCTTCTCTCCATCCGTGCGGGTGTCCATGCTCGTTATGCAGACAGGATCCATCCTGTCTGCGTACAAGTACGGACACCCACACAAATGTGCTGTTCCGGCGAGCGTACGCCTTGTCCTCTCATAGAGAAGAACAGGCTGCTGTATTCAATCACACGCTTCACCTGTCCTTCCCGGGAACGGCCCGTTACGGCCGTGTATGCCTCATGGATCTGTACGGGCTGACTCTAAGCTGTGTGACTGAGGCCTAATAGCGCAACCTGTCAGAAGCTGTATCCAGCGACTTTACAGGTTATGCAAAATGTCTTCAACAGGAAGGGGTGGGACAAATTTAGATTGGGGGGGGCGAGTTTCGTCTTGCCTAGGGCAGCACGAAACCTAAATACACCGCTGCCTAGGTGCAGTGGGTGGAAGCCAGCTGTAAGATAACTTTTATCAGCAGGTTTTTTTTAGACATGTGCGATTCGTTTCGCTACGAATCGAAATTCGTACGAATTTTCCTGAAATTCCGAATTTCGGAAGCATCCGAATCCGAATTGCATTTTCCGAATTATATATCCAAAATACGAAATTCCGTTCCGAATTTCGGATCCAAATTTCTTTGAAATGGGAACTAATATTACCCCTGTAAATGAGGTTGAACAACATGACAAGATTTGTTTTAAAATCCGAAATACGGATCCGCTGCTGCTGAGGGTTGCATTACAATACATACAGGCAGGCAGGAAATACGAAATTCCGTTACGGAATTTTGTTCCGTTACGAAAATCCGTTATATTGAAGGTAAAAAGCAATGTACATTTATATTGTAGTTGACGATGGTAGTTTTTTTAAAAATCCGAAATACGGAATTCGGATACGGAATCCGTTAACGGAATTCGTATTTCGTTTTGGTTGACCAACCAGGTTTTCTCTTCTGCTGCTGAGAGTTGCATTGCAATACAGGCAGGAAATACAAAATTCCATTACGGAATTTCGTTCCGTTACGAAAATCTGTTATATTGAAGGTAAAAAGCAATGTACATTTATATTGTAGTTGACGATGGTAGTTTTTTTAAAAATCCGAAATACGGAATTCGGATACGGAATCCGTTAACGGAATTCGTATTTCGCTTTGGTTGACCAATCAGGTTTTCTCTTCTGCTGCTGAGAGTTGCATTGCAATACAGGCAGGAAATACGAAATTCCGTTACAAAAATCCGTTATATTGAAGGTAAAAAGCAATGTACATTTATATTGTAGTTGATGGTAGTTTTTTTTAAAATCCGAAATACGGAATTCGGATACGGAATCCGTTAATGGGATTCGTATTTCGTTTTGGTTGAACAATCAGGTTTTCTCTTCTGCTGCTGAGAGTTGCATTGCAATACAGGCAGGAAATACGAAATTCCGTTACAAAAATCCGTTATATTGAAGGTAAAAAGCAATGTACATTTATATTGTAGTTGATGGTAGTTTTTTTTAAAATCCGAAATACGGAATTCGGATACGGAATCCGTTAACGGAATTCGTATTTCGGATAAAAAAACAACTACCACATCGACTCCAATATTAACAAAGGTATTTTGCTTTTTAACGTCATCATAACGAATGTTCGTACAGTTACGAAACTATAACAGCCACTAACGAAATTTCGTATTTCGTACGAATCCGAATCGAGTTTTGACGCGAATTACGAAATACAAAATAACGGATTTTACGAAACGAAACAGAACAAATTTTTTGACGGCGCACAAGTCTAGTTTTTTTCTAAGTGGATTTCAGCATTTTGACATGGGGAATATCTAGTATTCAATAAGCAGACCTTTCATTTGGATGACTTTCATAATGATAATAATACTGTTTTACAAACTGGGAGTAATAGTTGTCAAAATCCAGTAGATCACAAAAAACAACAAGAAAAAAAGAAAAAACAATACGTGTTGAACTCACTTCTATGATAGGGTAATAACAGTATTGATAGTAGGAAGTGTCTTCAGGAAAATGACCAAACAAATGAAAGTCAGGTGTGAATGGATGGAAGCTCTCTCTTTTTTCACTGTCCCTGGTATCTCCAGCTACAACCCCCATAGTCTCCATACACTGACCCAGTTCCAGGTCCTCCACAGATGATCTGTGAGAGCAGACCCCTGTACGAAACCCCTCTATAAAGCGTTGCAAAGACTCCTTGCTGAGTACATAACCAGCTCCACCACTCATGTAGCCCTGCTTCATAAAAGGTTTAAAACGTTTTCCAAAATATATTGGCTGGTTAGGTGTATAATTTGAAAGCATCCATCGTAAATTGTCAACCGCAACATAAGTGTCATCGTCTGCTTTCAAAAACCAGTCAGCTTCATGAAAGTGATTTTTGTAAATATACTGGAAGGCACGGATGGTCTTCCAGTAGAGATGCTCTCTTCCTTCTTGGGTGTCCAGACCAATAGCGGGGAAGCTTTCACTGGCAGTGGAGCTCATGAATAAAATTTTATTACAGTGGCGAGTCCAGGAATTCTTCAGGTGGATGGCTTTAGACTCCAAGTGTTGTGGTGCTGTCATGATCCAACATAATACCCGTACTTTACGTGAAAGATCTTCACTCACGCTGCTATCTGCAATAATAAAATATAAGAACTAGTAAGTATAAAACAAGCACCTACTGCTACATACCTAAAATTTTTAGTTTTAAATAGAGCAGAGAAGGGTTAAGAGAAGAGTATTGTTTGTACTATGTGTGATCTACTTGAGAGATTTCCCTCCACTTCCTGTCCTGGTGACGCAACAGGATATGAGAGGTAATCTCCCCAAATTAGGGAGGAACTTCTATGTTAGTTGCCACCAGAATGTTTGTCCTTATTAGATGATTTACTCTTGTTTTTGGTGACAAGTTTAACATTTTGGGTCACAGAGAGCAATACAAAACCTGACAGAAGGTCTAACCCTTTCCCAATCTATCTAAAATTTTAAAAAAAATGACTAAACTAAACATTGTTATTTTGGGGGTGTGGCCAGCTTCTGGGATGAACGCAGTGCTGTGAGAGAGCTCTCTGCCAATGCATCCTGTGTGATATCGTGCAACCTTAGCACAACTCAACATATCCAGCCAACAATGGCAACATCCTGTGACCCTCTTTATCTCTTCACAATGGCAGCTGCAAAAACCCCCGGGAGAAAGCCTAGCAAATTATGTCAAAGATCAGGTCCAAGATGGCAGTGGCTCCCCTGCACCATGTGGTGCACGGGCACCTTCAGGAATGGGAAGGGGACTGTACAAAGGGGTGGGGGATCTGACCCATAGGAAGCTTATTGATACTTTTCACCAGTGCCAAGCTTCCGCAAAGTCTCCATTGTTTTTGCATATATATCTAACACCAGCAAGCAGTAGAACATTGCTCACCCCGGCTGAAGATCTGAAGCTTCTCAAGTGGCCATGAAGGATAATGGGGCGGGCATATGCGCAGTAGAGATCTTCGGCGGGTGAGAAGAGGAGAGACACAGTGGAGCTGAATACAAGCAGTCGGGAGCATGCATATGGCACAAACACCATGGGTAGGGTTGCCACCCGTACGGTTTTCACCCGGACAGTACGGGTTTCGGATCCTGTGTACGGGTGGAAGGCGGGCTCCCCCCCGTACACAGGATTCAAACGGCAGACTTGCTCACCTGGCGGCGGGTGGTGAGCTGTCACTCACTGCCATGGACGGCATATTATTAACGGTCAAAATGAACAATTACAAAATAATAATTTGAATTGAAATAAAAATGGCGGTATCCTTGTTAATCCCATCTGTATGTAAACGCAGATACTGGGTTGGCGTTCTTGACAGAACACCGGCACTAAAATTTGAAACAAGCGGCTGCCTGAGGTCCCGCGCTTGCTGGGGACCTCGGCAGCCTTTCTGTTAACC